TTGAATTTATCTGCATAGCACGTCAGGTCAGCACATCAGTATCAAAACAAAAGAACAAGAAAATTTACAACTGTAGGAGCTTCACACCTCTGGAAGCCATCAATCCAAAATCCAGGAAGTAGCGACTCCTGTCGATCAGGCGGTCAAAGTGGCGAAACTTCAGAGGCCTCTTGTAGATGTCCTCTATCACCTCGAACTCTTCCCTACTGAGCTCGAACCTCGTACTACTATTTGCAATGGAAGCCCCAAAGTTAGAAAAGCTCAAGTATTCAATTCAGAAGTACAAGCAGGGGTTGGGAGACTCACGAGCTTCGTAGTACTGGGTCGGCACTGTGCAAGAAAGGGCTTTGTCCCCCTCCACTGCCTGCCACTTTTCTCGCACCCAGAGCTAGGACTCCTTCCACCCCTTGATAGAGGAAGATAGTCTCACCACAAAAGGGTGTGTGAGCCCCCAAGGTGTAAGGTAATACCACCCCCTGGACTCATTCCCTATGACCCGAGGTTGGAAAAGGGTCATGAATATATGGAGAGGCATGTCCTCCCCAAGTGACACCTCCTTCCACAGAAAGTACGAGCCGACCAGCTGACTCCACCCATTTGGCTGAACCTGGGTCGGCGACAACATGAAATTCCTCAGCACCGCCCTAAAAAAGGGGTGCAGAGGAAGACGCATACCTGCCTTAAACAGGTATTCACTGACTGTCACACAACCGGGCCTCGGATAGTAGGCCCGCTCGTTCGACTCGGGAACTAACATTTCTATAGTATGGGGGACACTCTATCTCTCCCTAATCTCCCCCAACCTCTTCCACGTCATACTTGAAGGCATCCTAGATGCCCCCCACTCTTCGGTATAATCTTCTAGCTCCTTAGTCAAGTCGTAACGGTTCAGGCACTTTTCCTCGAAAATAAGTACAAAACATCAAATCATTGTCACAGCTATCAAGGCACAATCATTACCATTGAACCTCGACTTCTTCTTCAACATTCAGCCAACATGCCTCGCAAGTTCGATTTCTCAACCACCTCGACTTCAACTTCAACATTCAGCCAACAAGCCTCGCAGGTTCGATTTCCCAACCACCTCGGCTTCAACTTCAACATTCAGCCAACAAGTCTCGCAGGTTCGATTTCCCAACCGCCTCGGCTTCAACTTCAACATTCAGCCAACAAGTCTCGTAGGTTCGGTTTTCCAACCACCCGGCTTCAACTTTAACATTTAGCCAACAAGTCTCGTAGGTTTGGTTTCCCAACCACCTCGGCTTTTTCTTCAACATTCAGCCATCAAACCTCGCAGGTTCGGTTTCCCAACCACCTCGACTTCAACTTCAACATTCAACCAACAAGTTAGGTTCGGTTTTACAACCACCTCAGTTTCATCTTCAACATCAACACAGCCTCGGTCTCTTCATCGTTCACCCACGGTAACACATTTCTGATTCCAACTCCGATATAAATATCTACACTTGAACTTCGGGGACTATTATTTGGGGTTCAAAAATTCTTTCAATTTTTACTTCATCAAAGTCTACGCATTACATGAATGACCATACTTGGACTTGAGGGACTATTGTTGCGTGTTGTCATACTTTGCCAATCCACTTGGGCCAATGGCCCACTCAGGCCAAACCACATGGCACTCCAGCCGAGGTGGGCAATGGCCGAAGCCCTTCAGGTCAAAGTCCACTAGCCGAGGCGTCTTTTTCCTGAGGCCTGTGAACGTACCCGAGGTCCACATGTCGAGGCCCATGAACCGAAACCATGATGCTGAAACTAGTTGAAGATAGCTGAAGCCCTCAACCGAAAGTATTGTGTGAAATGGTCGAAGCCCCGAAACTGATGCAGGAGCCTCCGAACCACAAGGGAGTGTCCTCCATGTTCACTTCTCCCAGGAGATCGTATGCATAAAGATCTTATTCGAATGACTGATAGAATGTTTGTCATAAGCATAAAGGTCAAGTCTTGTCACTAGTATGGGGGCTCTGCACAAGTAATAAATGCGCTGCAAGCTAGCAAGTCAAATATCATGCCTGATAAGATGTCTAAATCAAAGAGATGAGGCCACGTGCCACCTCATCTAAGGGCTCCCATTTCACATGTACCACTATAAATACTTCCCTTGTGTAACATCAAAAGGCTAATGCAAGAATCAATACAAAGAACTACACTTTACTCAACTCTCTCTCATTTACTTGCAATACACAAATCGAGTTTATACACATTTACATATACATTTACGAACACCGATTGGTAATTATTGTACAATCGGATCACGAACAACCCGTCGAATTCCGAACGTCACCATCCCGCATCGTTGGGCTACTCCCACGCCCTTTGAACCGCTCGTTTTAGACCGTCTATGTGTCTTAGCGTGTTGGACATTTGTCCACGTGTGCGCGGGTGGGATCGACATCTGTTGACAATACTTTTTGGGGTCAACAGAGTTGATCCTATTTTAGTAGCATTATCTGCTCGATAAAAATAACTCTAAGCCTTGTCTGTTCAAGAAGGGTTAGATTTAAGAGAGAATATTAGATAGAAGGACAAGAAAGGCTTTGAGAAAGTTATGAAGATGATGGAAAAGTTAGGCTTTAGCATAAGACATGTTTCAAAGCATGATTTGACACGGATGTTGATAGTAGGCCTTGTCAAAGCTTGGTCTTGTACGTATCACTACTGAAAATGGTAAATATGAGATAGTTGAAGCTTATTTCCATTGAGAGGGAAAGGGGTGGCTATAGATGAGGTTACTGGTCCTCAAAATTTGGGGGCAGTATTTCAGTCTGCTTGCTTCTTTGGAGGTTAGGATGTAATATTTTGTGTGAAGAACTCAGCCCCATTAAGTGGGGTTGTCATTAAAGCAAGTTCAGGTTCGCTTGAATTAATGGAGCTCAAATCTTGCAAGAATATGATGTAATACTTGACATCTTTAGCTAAAAATGGTTGGAGGGTTCTTGGTGCATCAATTTCTTCAAGAGCTTTTACTTTGAATGAAGTTGTGTGTGGTGCTTCGATAATCCTTGTTCTATGCAGTGAGGATACTATCTCGTTTCGGCTCCTAAACTCGCGTTGAGCTTTGATATCAAATTGTTGAATTTAAAATCCATAATTTTATTTTATTGATATAAAATCACCTATACAATTTAAGAACACACACCACTTAATTAAAATAACTCACTCAGGGGAGCACTCAATTCTCTCTCACACTCCACTAATTCTCACTTACTCTCAAATCTTTCTCACACATATATGCATTCTCCTCCTCTCTTTCTCACTACAATTTTCACACACATTATATTGTACAGGAACATATTTATATAAGAGTAACGTCAGTGGCTTCCTCCTTCGACACATTTCAATTATGGTTTTAAAGTTACAATCATAATTCTAAATACGGCCATAAATGGCGGTGGTCTAGGCATGGATGCATTCTACGTTTATTTTCTTGTGCTGATAGCTATTATATTCAAACTCCAGCAAGTTCAAATAATTCTTTGAGTGGCAATGCAGGTTTCTTCAATTATCCCCTTCAACATCGACTTTTAATTTTGACTCTTTTCTTTTTCGTTACATCCAACTTTGTCTCGATGAATTTTGAAGTGTTTGATCCTTTATTCAACGAATCCGCTACTTTAAATATGTCTAGCTCTTTCATACTTTTCTCTCATCTATTTCTAGGTTAGCATGCGTGATTTTTGATTTCTCATCTCTATTCTTATTTCTGATTGTAAACTTGGGCATGTCTCGATCTCTTGTTGACTTTGTCAGTCCTTCACTAGTATAACCTGATCTGTATCATTTTGTAAAAAACTTTGTGTTGCTCTAATTAGCTCTTCTTGTCAATTGACACTTGTGGATCTTTAGATTCCTCAAGGCTTCGTTGCTGTGCTTTTGTAATCTCCTTTTGCAGTTTGTCTTCCATTTCTTTAAATGTTGTAGCTCTACCCACTGTAGTGTCTACTAAGAAGATTCTTCATGAACCACGATGTCCTCTCCGGAGTTATCGATCCAATCATCTTTGCAATCCAATTGTTTAGGGAGGACAACCACCAACGCTGATTTGTCTTTTATACTAAAATTAAATTTCTTTTCTCGAGCAGGCTCAATCATTGTCGTGGGTGTCTTAGCATCTCATTCTTCTTCACTATTTTACCTCTCTTCTTTATTGGAGGTTGCTATATTACCTTCTACTGATTCCTTTTTAAATCGGTAGTCTCTAGCATAATGTCCTTGTTTTCCATATATAAAGCACAAACCATTAGTTTGTTGATATTTTTTACCTCTCTTGTCACTATTTTTTTGAGCTCTCCTTATCTGGTATCTTCCTTCAATCCATCGTCTAGATTTTCCTACTTTTAATTCTTTATCATTTTGTTGACGGAGTTAAATTCTTTTTTTTTTAGCTAAATAATTTTTCTTCCTCTTCTTTCT